GCCGTCCCGTTAGCATGCTAGTGTGGTACTAGAGCTACATGGTGCTGTAACTTACTGAGGGACTTGGGATTAGAGCTACCTGTCCTGTTCCCTTACAGAAATATTTCCTGGCCTCCCTGGAACGGGCCAAAGCGGAGGGCGAGCACGACGAGCACTACTACAACGCCATCTCTGTCACCACCTCCTACAACTTGGCCCGGCTTTACGAGGCCATGTGCGAGTTCCACCAGGCCGAGAAGCTCTACAAAAACATTCTGCGCGAGCACCCCAACTACGTCGACTGTAGGCACCATCCCACCCCGCTCCCCTGAGCCTCCTATCTCTGGCGGTATCGCTCTGATGCATCTGTCTGCCGTGTCCGACAGGTTACCTGCGCCTCGGGGCCATGGCTCGCGACAAGGGCAACTTCTACGAAGCTTCCGACTGGTTCAAGGAAGCCCTGCAGATCAACCAGGTAGCTCTCAAAAAGTTTGCAATTCTTCCTTGAATGGTGGACACATGTTGTGTCCCGTCAGGCACTTTGACAAGTTGGCTTGTGCCCGCTACCCCTGCGCTCTACCAGGACCACCCAGACGCCTGGTCCCTTATTGGGAACCTCCACCTGGCAAAGCAGGAGTGGGGTCCGGGCCAGAAGAAGTTTGAACGTATCCTGAAACAGCAATCGACGCAGAACGACACGTATTCCATGCTGGCGCTGGGAAACGTTTGGCTGCAGACACTGCACCAGCCCACCAGGGACCGTGAGAAGGTACAGCAGCTTCTGACCTGGGCTGGGCTGGTCTGGCTGGGTCGTTCAGCAGATGACTAAGGGGCCACATTCTCCCTGTTGTCTCCACCAGGAAAAGCGGCATCAAGATCGAGCCCTGGCAATCTACAAGCAGGTCCTGCGCAATGACTCGAAGAACCTCTACGCTGCCAACGGGATCGGTGTGTCTTCGCATGTGTTTCGTTAGGCCTTCGTCGCTTACGATTTCTAATCTGATCCGAGATCATTTCCTCCTCCCTCATTCACCTGTCTGCAGGTGCCGTCCTGGCTCACAAGGGCTACTTCCGTGAGGCCCGGGACGTCTTCGCCCAGGTGAGAGAGGCGACGGCAGAGATCAGCGACGTCTGGCTTAACCTGGCGCACATCTACGTGGAGCAGAAGCAGTACATCAGCGCGGTGCAGATGGTGAGGAGAGGCAGTCTGAACTTGGGGGGCGGGGCCGATGTCAGGCAGGCATCCCATTGGTGTGGCTCGCTGTTTGTCTTACCCGTGTCCATGTGTGGTTTTTTTGTACAGTATGAGAACTGCCTGAAGAAGTTCTTTAAGCACCAGAACACGGAGGTTCTCCTCTACTTGGCTCGGGCCCTTTTTAAGTGTGGGAAGCTACAAGAGTGCAAGCAGACCTTGCTGAAGGTGAAGGAGGGTGTGGGTGGGGTGGATGCCAGGGTGGTTTCTCACTTCCTGTATCCCTGTGGCAGAGGGTTGGTATTATGTCATGGATGACATGAGAATCTCATCTCCAAACCCCACTTGACCTCCCCCACCCCACCCCCCAGGCCCGACACGTGGCCCCTAACGACACAGTGCTGATGTTCAACGTGGCACTGGTGCTGCAGAGGCTGGCCACGCTGGTGCTGAAGGATGAGAAGAGCAACCTGAAAGCTGTGCTGAGTGCCGTCAAGGAGCTGGAACTGGCCCACAGGTAGGTGTGGCTCAGCTTGTAGGACGCCAGAATGTCACCGGTTCAAGTCCCGGGGTCATCAGAGTGGTTAGCAAGGTTCCTGACCCCAGTTGCTCCAGGTACTGTCTGACCCTGTGTCACTTTGGATAAAAGCATCTTCTAAATTTATGTGTGGCCTGCAGGGGGCAGACCTGCATCATGCACAGGATGATAAATCCTGACCTTTACTCCTTGGCCTGCTGTACAGGTACTTCAGCTACCTGAGCAAAGCGGGAGACAAGATGAGGTTTGACCTGGCTCTGGCTTCCACAGAAGCTCGGTAAGGGATCTCCAGTCTGGAGGGAACCTGGTGATGTTTTCCCATGACTGCATCCTGTGAACCCAGACCTGTGCGTGTGGCCCTCTAGGCAGTGCTCAGATCTGCTGAGCCAGGCACAGTATCATGTGGCTCGGGCCCGTAAGCAGGACGAGGAGGAGAAGGAGCTCCGTGCCAAGCAGGAGCAGGAGAGGGACCTCCTGCGGCAGCAACTGATGAAGGAGCAGGTGAGCGCTGACCCCTTTCCCACTCGGGGGGAAGGCTGACCGCCTGATTTCCCAGTTCACCACCTCACGCTTCGGCCCGGCAGGAGGAGAAGCGCAACAGGGAGGCCGAGGAGCAGAGGAAGCTGCTGGAGCAGAGGGCCCAGTATGTGGAGAAGACCAAGAACCTCCTCACATTCTCCGAGGGCATGAAGGAGCCATCCAAGGAGAAGAAGAAAAGCAGTTCTGGAAGGGTGAGTGTCAGCATTGTGAAGTCGGGCTCTGACTGTCCTACTAATGAAAATGGAAGGGGGCTGCTCGGGAAGTAGGGTGATGGCTAGCTCAGTAGGTTAGGAATCTCTACCCATATCCGGGAGGTTGTGGGGTCGATTCTCATGGCTGGCTGGGTAATCATATAAAAGTTTTATCTCTGGAATATATGTTTGTCGTTCTGTAGCGCAAGAAGGGGGGTGACATGGATGACTTTGTCAACGACGACTCAGACGAAGACTTGCCCATGAAGAAGAAGAAGAGGAGGAAGGGCGGAAGCGGGAGTGAGCAGGAAGTGGAGGACGAGGAGGGCGAGAGGAAGCCCCGCAAGAAGAGGAGAAGGTGAGGTCGCAGGGGGCAGAGGTCAGAGGGTGGGTCTGACGGGACAATCCATCTAACCATGAAGATGTTTGGGTGCTGGATGCTTCAGTGCTACTTAAATGTCCTGCTGATTTTAATGCAAGTTGCCTGAAATTGTAATATTTTGGTGGGAATTTCCTGCAAGTTGTTCCACATTTATGTTACAGGTCTGTGAAGGGAGGAGATGAAGGCAGTGAGGATGATGAGCAGGCGTCCCAGTCCAAGAAGCCACGCAAGGCCAGGGAACGAAAGCGATTTGAGAAGGTCTGTGCCTCCCCCCCCTTCCCAAAATGTATGACTTGGTGTGAATGTTCGTGAAAGTCCCACTTACGGCGTGGAATTCCCGACACAGGCCAAGCCAGAGAGGATGCCGCAGTCTCTCAAAGGGAAGATCAAATCCAAGGCCATCATCTCGTCCTCCGATTCCTCCTCTGACGAGGATGGCCTGAAAATCGCTGAGGACAGGTGAGCATTTCGATATCATGAGAGGAATCGGTGCTTCGCTCTGTGCGCAGAGTGCAGTAACAGTTCCCACGCATCCATTTCCCAGAATCCCCCGGGACAGCGGCTCCGGCTCTGAAGAGGAGTCGTCGCACAGGAAGCGTATCGCGTCGGACAGCGAGTCGGACAGAGGGCGGGATGGTGGCAGTGGCAGCGAGGCCGGGAGCCCACGGGAGATGGCCGACTCCGAGGACGACTCGGGCAGCGATGGGCCGGTGAGTCGGAAGCGGCTGCAGCCACAGTCCGACTCGGAACAGTCTGACAATGAGAGCAAGAGGAGCCGCTCGGAGGCCTCAGGGGAGGACTCGCGGCCCAACTCGCCCGTCGCAGACTCGGACAGGGGCTCGGATAGGGGTTCGGACAGGGCCTCGGACAGGGGCTCGGACAGGGGCTCGGATAGGGCCTCGGACAGGGCCTCAGATAGGGCCTCAGACAGGGGCTCGGATAGGGCCTCGGACAGGGGTTCGGACAGGGCCTCGGACAACGAGGGCTCGCCACGCAGATCTGACAATGAATCTGAACCGGAGCACTCCAACAACGAGGCGTCCAATCCAGGGTCCGATGACGACAGCGACTGAGGGCCGGACATTGTCTCCCCACCCCTCACATAAAGAGAATCTTTCAACAGTAAACCATTTTTATTTTTTTTGCATTATTCTACTGAAATAATCACATGAAACAAGGTGATGTGTCACATTTGGAGTTCTGATAACATTTCTTTTTAAATTGTATGTCAAACTCCAAGCTCACCTCATTCTTTCTAGATTTCTTTTGTAGTTTTTTTTTTTTTGTTGTTAATGAGCTATGGGCGTCAGACCTGTGTTGTGTATATTAAAAGCGACACCCAATTAAGATGCCAAATTCTTTTCAGAACTTTTAGAACAATATGAACTGTTATGTAGACAATAAAAATGGATAAATGAACCGTTTCTTCTTCCTGATTACATCTGTTGAAGTATTTGTTTAAATGTGGTTCGATTTATATTAATCTGAGGTAAACTGAATATACTGAAGTGATCAGCCACCCCAGTGTCATTACTGCTAACTATGAGGCTATTAAGTTGTGTTTGGGTCTTTAACCACCCAGAATGCCGTCTGTCCTCAGCAAAGTCTGAATTATGCAAGTGACTTTCGAGGTTCCGCTTACACTGAGCAGTAAAACATTAACATGTTGTTCCTACAGTAGCGAGAAGATCAGTATTGAATTTTATGACATCTTGATTTTGTAATAGGGTTTGCGCTTAATGCTCATATGCTGTGAAATTTAAATATGATTTGACGACCAAAGTCAGGTCTCTTGAACATTACTATAGGTAAAGATTAATATGTAACAGATTTTTCAACACCAAGGGTCCGACAGTGGAATCCCAGGTGTATGTAGTGGTTCCTGAGGTCCATTATAATAGAGATTAGGCAGCGCTTGTGTAATGTTTGACCTTTGACCCTGGAAGATGTCCATTGTGCTCCCATCTCATGCAGATGGGTTCAGGTGTAATCAGTCAAGGTAGGGTCACACCTCGGTTTCTATTAGCAACGGGCCTGGTCCGGTTTCTCCACATACCACTGAGACTGGTGTCAGCTGACCCATGAATAATTCACCCTGTCTGACAAGGCAGGTGATGGAGAGATCCAGAGTCATAGCAGAGCCAAAGCTGCTCCGCTGCACTGCGCTTTGTCGTCCGGATGTCGCTGAGAGCCGCCTCCCAGTTGGACCTCCACGCCAGCCCTTCCTCGCTGGGCCCGTGGAAGCCACTGTCCCTCAGCAGTGGCAGCGTGGAGGGCCGGCAGTCCCGCGCCAGGGACGGCCAGGAGGAGGCGCCGGCTGTGCCGAGAACCTGCCGGCGACCCGTCAGAGCGGTGCGGCCCGTTAGCGCGCTCAGCCCCAATGCCTCCTTTCTGCAGATTAACCGCCTGCAGGGGGAGCTAGTGAGGAAGAGAAAGGTAATTCATTATTTTTTTTCCCTTTACACTTACTGTTTTATTTTAATAATTAAAATAATTCCTCCTAATGGTGTTTCTTTGCTTGAGAAGTGGGTTTGGCGATCATGTGACTTATGGAGGCCTGTTTCCGAAGCCTCCGGGAGGTCCGCTCAGGTACCGTCTGTCTCTCATCACCCCCGAACCCATAGATGCAGCGATCGATGAGAGGCATGGTATTGTGGGGTTAAACGCCTGCATTTAGCGATGCGTTACAGATTCCACGCTCAATGGCCACCCCAAAGAAACACAGGCTGTTTGATAACTCTGCAGCTGGTAACTAATGCACACCAGTCACCTAATGTCTGATTGCAAATGCCAGCAGTCATTCTTAACTGGCTGACAAATTACTCACAATTCACCAGACACCATATTCTAATGTGCACTATATCAATAGATATAGTTGTTTACAGTCTAATCTCATCATCAGTTTCTGAAAATATAAATCTAACCCTAAAAATCTACCAAAAAGCATCGACAATGTGCTGTGTTTCTCTCATTAGAACCATTGTAATGTCATATTACAGCAAGCGGAGACTATTTACAGGTTGTTGTCAATTCTTGATAATCTCAAGCGTTAGCAGTTTATCAGTTTTATTGTCACATGTTATCAGAGGAACGCAGTGACATTATTATGCCAATTACAGGGGAGGGCAGGGTTGTCAGCTTTGGTCAGCTGGCTGGCACGAGATGTTCAAATCCTTCACTCATTTACATGTATGTAACAGATTTATTGCCTTGTAAATAGCTTTTAATGTAGCTAATTATAGGCTTATAATGTAATAATATAGAGTTGCTGTAAGATTTCTTGCGTGAGCGTGAGAATCTGAAAGCGTGAGTGTCACGCCAGATGCGTGAGAGTCTGAAAGCGTGAGCGTCACGCCAGATGCGTTAGAGTCTGAAAGCGTGAGCGTCACGCCAGATGCGTGAGAATCTGAAAGCGTGAGTGTCACGCCAGATGCGTGAGAGTCTGAAAGCGTGAGTGTCACGCCAGATGCGTGAGAGTCGGCAGCCCTGGGAGGGGACAGCTGCACGGGAGGGCAAGATGACCGACAACAATGTAACAGAAGACAGAGGAGTGCAATATGATAATGAGTAAAGAGGAAGTACTAACCATGTCTGATGGGGATAATGATGCCACTGGACCACAGTATAGTGAAATAATCATTGGCGACATGCATATCTATCTCGCTATATTTACCATTAGAGGCTAACTGTAGGCCAGCGTTAGCATTAGCGGATAACTGTGGGCCAGCATTAGCATTGGCGGATAACTATAGGCCAGTGTTAGCATTAGCGGATGACTGTGGGCCAGCATTAGCATTGGCGGATAACTATAGGCCAGTGTTAGCATTAGCGGATGACTGTGGGCCAGCATTAGCATTGGAGGATAACTATAGGCCAGTGTTAGCATTAGCGGATGACTGTGGGCCCGCGTTAGCGTTAGCAGCTAACTCTGGGTCAGCATTTGCATTGGCAGCTAGCCATGGACCCGCGGGGTGAGCAGTAACTCATGTTCCCCCAGGAATGCGAAGACCTGAAGCAGGAGAACAAGTTCCTGTCTAATGAGATCCACATGGAGCGTATAATGATGCGCACGGAGAACGAGCTGACCATGAGGAACCTGCGCAGCCTGAACCAGGAACTCCAGGGACAGATCAAGGAGGTGCGCTGTCCAGGAGTACTATCAGTGCGTTCCGGCCCATCCGCAGTGCCACCCGGTGGCATAGGAGAGAGTTTGATATCGGGGAGGACTCAGTTAATAATTATTAAACAAAGGTCTGACTAAGGGGGGGGGGGGGGGTGAGAAGAGCGATATTGAATTGTGGGAGGACACACCGCAGCCTGCCTTCCAGGTTCCTGCTCCCCCTGGGGCCACCTACAGGTGGTTCTCAAAGGAATTGTGCCTAATTCGCAATTTTAATTAATTATCCTGAAAATGGTATTGCTAGCTGACCTATTCTAGTACACTAGGCTTGGTGATGATTTTTTTGTGCAACTACAGAGCTCTCAAACCCGTCCGTACATCCATCTTCTAACTGCTTATCTGGGTCAGGGGTCAGATCCATGTGCTTTGTTGCAATCCTAGAGAAAATGAAGCTCTGTACACATTTATATTCATTATTTTTATTTGACCACTAGATGGCAGCAATTTCTTGCCAGGTCCTCTGCCACTCAGGCCAAGAGCTGAACATCCCCCAGGGGGCAGCAGGGCACATTATGTCTGCTTTGGTGAGATGCACCAGCAAGGGAGATGATCGATATCAGAGCTTACTCTGCACAAGCAAGCAAGCTCTTGCAAAGCACTTTGCAGTTTTAAAGACAGAACTGAGTATATCAAGCTAAGTACCAAAGTAAATAAAGACATTCAAATTTACAAGACAGTGAGTTTTTCTATTGTTCCCTGAACTCATAAAGGGAGGCAATCACATGAAATTTTACACCCATGGTGGGATAGGCAGGCAAATTACCTTACCCAGAATTCTTTCCTGCTGTCTGTTGGTTTCCTTTCTGTTTTATCCTAATATCCCACTATTTAACAGTCTTTAAATTAAAAAAAAAACATATACAAATATATGTATGTATAGGGTGACCATATTTTGAAAAAGGACTTTGGGTGCAGGATGTAAAGAGAATGTTCAAAGCAACACAAATATGCACACTGAAAGCAAATCTAAACTTGAAACAGAGCGAAATCCTAGACATTTCAGCCAATTTTAGGTCCCAAAAAATGAGGACAAGCCCAGAAACAAAGGACATATGATCACCCTATGTATGTGAGATGTCCCAGTGTGACCCCTCTAATGCCCCGTTCCAGCTGAAGCAGAAGCTCCACATCAGCCAGCAGAGGGTGACACTGTGCTCAAAGGCAGCAGAGGATGCAGAGGTGTCTCACGGTGAGGCAGAGAGGGCCCGGGGCATGGCAGAGGCCAGACTGCTGGACATCCAGAAGGACCGGGAGTTGGTGCTGGCTGAGAAGATGCAGGTGGCGCAGGAGCACCATCTGCTGAAGAACCGGGTACTGAACCACTGTCATGGCAGAACTCTGACGGACGGATGGATGGATGGATGGGAATTAGATTAGATATTTTATTAACCTTGAAGGAAATTGCAGACGTTCTGACAAACTGAAACACTGACACTCTCTGTACAACTAATAAGCCAATAATGGCTGCACCGCAAGGTCAATCAACCACAGGCCTGCTTTTATGCCACCTAACTGGCAGCCAAAACTCTGGGCAACACGACTGCCAATCCAAATAATTACCTTGTTAGTGTAATTAAGAGTTGAGATGCCCGGGTAATACCAGTATGCCCTGCAGCTATCAGACAGCAGAAGTACCCCTCCCGCAGCGACCGTGAGTCACGCAAACGCTGTTTCGGCATCTGAATAGCATGCCACTCAAAGCAGCCGCAGCCGTGAGCCCCGCGGGCAGCCGGCTCCTGCATGACAGGTGGGCTTTAATCAGCCTGGGCGCCCTGATGCTCCCTTCATGTTAGCTTCAGAAACCAGAAATATAGAGCAAAATGATATTAGTGCAGCAGAGCAAAGGGGTGCAAATAGCAGAATGAATTGCAATTAGATCCAAAGTCAAAAAAAGTCAAAATATCTTTTACTGTCAGCTTCAGATATATGAGTCATAAACTGAGCTGAGGTATTGATCTTATTGTACATTGGGTGTGGGGGAGGTATTTCATTTACAAAGAGGGGATGGGGGGGGGGGCGAGACTGGCAGCATCTGTGAGGAAAAGCTGGATCCTGGCCTTAATTTGGCACGGATTGACATGTACAGTTTGCCTGATGGTAAGAGCTCAAATAATAACCAGTGGCTGGCATGGTGCAGCCCTTTGCTTGACTTACTTGTTACCTTCCACTGTTTTCTGTGAAGCCATTAATTCTCCACCGCAGCCTGGTGTAGGGCGTATGATGATGTTGCACGTGGCGTGTGATGTGCCTCTTTAACCCATCAGTTCAGAGAGATCTGCATGCGTCTCAGGGGCTTTTACATACGTACTCTCTGAGCATACGGAAGGACGAGCCGTGACGTGCTTCCCAGCGCCTGTTCCCAACATGTCGTCCCATCTAGCACATGGATATTCAGCTGCTTCTGGCCCAGACGGAGAAGAACTACTTTGAGACCAAACTGAAACTGGATAGGGTCTCCTCTGAGAAGCAAGTTCTCGTGGAGGGGAACCGTGGCCTGGAGGAGGACAAGAAGGAGCTGAGGACGAGCCAGAAGCTGCTCGCTGAAGAAAACGCGAAACTCCGAGAGAAGTGAGCTGGTTTTCCTCATGGCCTTCATCAGTCCCTGACAAGCCACATCCCGGGTTCATTGTTTAAAAACTCTACAGTGTCTCCCTGCTTTAACAGACTAAATCTATCACAGTGACTTAAGTGTGTAGATAATTAGCAAACTGTGCTTTGCTGTTCTCATCTTTTCTTTTGTGACGTCAACTCCGCTTTTGTTTGATTAGCTGTGAAAAGCACCGATTGGCTGTATTCACTGCCAGCTCCGGCAGAATAATTCAGCACTTAAAGTCTGTTCATTTATCCTCAGTTTATATTGCATACAGCTGAGGCAGAATGAACTGACATGCTGGAGAGTGTTATTCCTTTGCCTCGGGGGACAATGAGTCCCTTTGTCACCGAAACAGATGTCATTTATTGAGACAGTCAAAGGTTTTTATTGTCACAGTGAGATTACGTTAATGCAGTCACAATCGTGATGAAAACATTATATATAAGACATAAACAATATACCTAAGAAGTAAATTATATATACAAGTAAACAATATGTTGAAGTGTTCCAACTACTAAGATAACAAATGAATAAGAGACTATTTAAGCTAAGATAAATTGCAGGAGTGACATGTAACAGTTTTATCACAGGTTATTGCACGCTTGCATATTGAAATCATAGACGGCAGGTGATTTTGTTTTGTTTTGGTCAGTGTTTAAAGCTATTAAGGCAGCATATTTTTAAGTCGTCGTAAACTTTATACAAATAAGCATGGGAGATTGTCTAGCAGGTATTTAAAATGTATTTTAACTCCAAAATGGATTAATTTTTAAGACTGGAGTTCATTATAAAAGGACCTAGCATTAGGATACGGCGACTGTTCATCCAATGAGGTAGAAACCTCAAACCCACTGCCAAAAGTGCAGATCTTAGGTAAATTGTGGCCAGTTACACCCTCTTCAGCTCTATTGTCTCATCGCAAAGTTTATTACATGAATTTCTGTTTCTGTTTCCACTGTGTGCTTCACCCCCAACAGTTCTCACCATCTAGAACTATGACACGGTCACTCAGAACTTGAAGGTCCTTTCAATGTGTTGTGCAAGTCCACTGAGTTGCAAATGTACTTTATTTTTCCCCGATATTATTCACTACACTAAATAATAAATAAAGATGTCTCTTATTTAGGAGATGCTGAAGCAACATGTTCTGCGAGCCAGCTAGCTAGCTGTGATCTTCTGACTCTACTCATTAGCTGTTTGTTTAGTTCCGGAAGCATCTGGGAGTGGGTGACTCTATCCTCGCCTCCTCGCAGGGAGACAAGCAGCCGCCGTAAGGCCCTAGCAGCTGAGGAAGTCTGTGAGCGTGTGTCCCAGGCGCGGAGAGACGCGGATCGCCAGTGCCGGGTAGCAGAGCAGGAGGCGCGCGAGCGAGCGCAGGAGAGCCTGAGTTGGAAGGAGAAGCACCAGGCGCTGGCAGCCACACTCAAGGCCCAGGAGGACCTCCGCTCACAGAGACAGAATAAGGCGGTAAGTGGCTCCCAATTCTAGAAAGATCGCCATGAGGCCGCACTGCCATGGCTGAAGCGGCTAATCTTCTGGGTAATGCACAGGATCGTCTCAGACTGATGTTTTCTCTTTCTCTGTACTTGGAAATGTGCAAATACATACATTACAGATAGGAATTCCGTCTGAAGGCTTTTAGGGTAACAGAGGGGAACACCTGATATTCACGTCTTTAATTCCAGCACTAGCAATGATGAATGTCTATCTTTCAGTCATATTATGACACAATCTTTGGATAAACGTGAAAGAGATACATCTGAAGGTCAGTGGCTTGGTTAGAGAGACGACTATAACAATGGCCAGAGGAAAACCTGTATTTTTTTGACAAATGACCCCCCCCCCCCTACAAACTCCTTTAATGTTTCGCTTCTTGTCAGTGTCAAGCAAACATCAGAAGCTACTTCCTGTGTGTGACTGAGAGTGACCAGCGGATCAAGATCTTGAAGAATCCTGATGGGTCACCCAGGAACTTCACGGTAACTCCTGGGCTCCTTGTGCTGGACAGGAAGCAGGCTGCTGGATCCCGTGTCCCAGCTACAGAAGAGGGTCATTTTGAAAAAGCACACATATATGTATATGCTCCACGTTCAGAGGGTGTTTTGGGTGGTTTTACCATGAGCTGAATATTACACTGGAGGGTTAGGACAACAGGAAGAGGCTTCCCAGGAGTCATACTCCAGTTCTGGGCATGCAGTCATCTTCAGGATGAGATTTCAGATTGACCACCAACCTACCTAACCCTGCCTGCAGGAGGGGGACCCCGTTTACATCTCCACGGCTGATACCGGAGGTGAGGATGCAGGGGAGAGGACCCAGGAGAGGTGAGGCCCCATAAGAGTTTAAAACACGGCCTTACAGAGGATGCTGTAACTCCCATACTGCTAATGCCAGTAGTTCCCACAGAAGGAATATTATATTGTACAGCAGGGTGATTAAAATCACGGTCCTCGAGGTCCGAGTACTGCTGATTTTCCAGCCTTCCTTTACCTGTGAGCCGGATGTGAAGCCTCTGGCTAATCAGAATCAGTCATTGTTAAACTAACTACCTGGGAGAACTGAAAACAAGGCCTGGATTTGGAATTGAGGGCCAGATTTGAAGAGCCCTGCTGTACAGTATATGAAAATGAGATTTTTTTTTTAAGTCTAATGTGTACATTTTGTTTTCTCAAACACCCATAATTGTTTGGGGCCTATCAACTAGTATGAGTTATAGACTTGCCTTCAATTTAAAAGCTAACAAACTATTATGCACTCTACACTACATTCAGGATCTATTTACCAATCACCATTAAGAAGCACCGCCTATTTTCTAACAAGCAGCCCTTCCTCCAATCAGGACTATATACCGAGTGACAGCGCCTAGTGCTAGGAGCAGTTTTGGCCCCGCCCACTTCTCAGAGCTGTCACCAATGGGGCCAGAGGCACCTGACACAGGTCCACGGCGGAGTGGCCGGAGAGTCGTCGAATACTTCTGGCTACCTACTGATGACCAATGAAAGGAACAGCGTGAACATCTTTTTCAGTTATAGGACACAGAGTGGTGTAGTCTTAAGGTGTTTAATAGCAACTTGTAGGCAGTGGTACTTAAAACTATGATTAGAATTTGTAATGATACTCTGGAATATTCCTACAAAGATTTACCATGTTTCTCTCCCAGGATTTCCAGATAGCACCCCCTGCTTTCTCCAAGATGCTCATGTGGCACCATCAATAAAGACAAACACTACCATGAACTGAATGTGAGGTCTTTGAGTATCTGAGGAAATTTATTAGATTTTCATGGCAGTAACATTCTACTGCAATGGTTAGCATGGTCACATTCAACACATACAAGAGTGACATCGTGACATGTTCACAATTCAGCTGGAGACAGAGACAGGTTTCTGTGATTCAAAGTGTTCAGCTTTACTTAGTGGTACACCATGGTCTTAGCACTTAACCACACAAGAACACCCTACTGAAAGACATTTCAATCATCAGAGGGATAATTCATAACTTCCAACATTTAAATACTGCTTGCCAATAGGTTTCACTTACAAGGGTTAAAAACTTTAGGTTTCCCAATGTCAGCTAGGGAAGTAAAAATATCAATTCACATTCCTCTAGTTAATTTTATTCACCAATTAAAAAGACAAACTTAAAAAAAGAAATGCACATTACGCTCATCTGATCAAAATCTGAACATGCCGATTAAGTCCCTGAACATGCTGTGAGGAGAAAGGAAAATTCAAGTATCACAATATCTGGCATACAGGTCATTGGGGGAGGGGGGGACAAAGAATGACAAGTGGCTCGATTTTGCTTCCCTCGCCTGCTGGAAGGAGCCACAAGACACAATTTAAGGTTTTAATTTGAAGTCTGACACTCAGGCCATGGTGCAAGTAAACCAAACGTTTTATTAAAGACTTCTGCACCTTTTGTCCAGAATTCTGAGGGTCTTCTGATTAAATATAACGATTTTAAAAACCATCACAAAATAAATTGCATTAGAGGTAGGAAAAAAAAAAAATAGGCGATAAACTGTTACGGTAGCAAACCAATGATTACAGTATAGAGTTCTTTGTCACTCGGGGTGGGTAAATATTGCAACGACCTCAGGATCACACTCGGCAAAGTGCAGGACTAACAGTGTGGCCATTCGGTTAACGGGAGCGTGAGCAGCAGGCCAACGCCTAGCGGGCCTCCATCAAGCACAACCAGATGTAGCTTCATGCCGCAAACACCACTCTGAAGTGTTAGAAGCAGATGGTATGTAGTTACGCTCAAGGTCTCGCACTTAGTAACCAAAAGAGCAAGAAACTGCAAAAGAACTTAAATATTGACAGCGGAATGAATTCTTGCAGTGGTTAGGTATATGGGGTAGGGGGCAGGATCAGTTTCTCTGGCTCCTCAGTCAGCCTCTTCCTCAGACTCCTCTTCCTCAGCAGTTTCAAGCCAGGTTAGCCACTGATTGACCTAGAAGGAAACACATTAAAAGTCAAAGCTGAAACAGGGCATCCAGAGATGGATGAATTAACACAACAGTACTGTGGTGTATCTCCAATGGAACACCATTAAAACACCTTTCAGTCAGTCACCCTTGCATTTACCTGAAATAGGGCCTTTCCTTTTCCAGGGAACTCTTGGGTGATATCTTCTTTCCATGCAAGGAAGGCTTCTTCTTCGATTATCTCCATGTCGTAAAAGTTGACAAAGTAACGCAGGAGCATGCCTTGGTGGAAGACAGCAGGGTTTAGCTACCAAAAGCAAACCCCCCCCCCACACACACACACACACACACACACACACACACACACACAGATCCCAAGCTCACCTTTTGGAAATGCAGTGGCATTGCAGTGCACCTGCAGGGCGTACAAGGCGCTGACCTGCAGATCTACATGGTCATGCAGGAACTTCTGCATCACAGGCTTAAAAGCGAGCAGCAACTGCTTCTCCTGGTCCAGCTGGTCTTTTGTGGGGGCGGAGAGCTGGTCATCTCCAGAAAAGCACATCTCATGAGAGATGTACTGTAGAAAACTGAACAAAATTGAATCAATGATTATTCCAAGATTTAGATCAAGGCTAAAATTGCCAACATTCAATACGAAATGTAAATGAACAGTGGCACGACTGGGAAGCAAACAGCTCCTATTGTGTGGAGTTTAACTTCCATACTGAGGTGAATGTCTCCCAAAAACAGGTGCTAGTTGGTCTCTGGTGCACCTTAGAACTAACTAGACAAATGGCCGGGGGCATCACTTAGGCACCATAAGCCGGGGCAGTCCTCCATACCTGGTCATCAGTATGTTGACAAAGCCCTTATCAGTGTGGAGCTTGGGCGAGATGTTGTCCTTGATCCACTTGTAGATGGCCTGTGGGGAGGGATCCGCCTTTATCTGCTTAAGTAGCTCCTTTTCCAGCTTCAGCAACGGGAACAAGAAACTGAGGCCCTTGCCCTCAAGGATCTCCAGCATGCGATCCTTGTTCTGGTCGATCTCTGCACAGTTGAGGGAAGGTAATAATTTGTTAGAAGAATCCAAGCCATCTATCCAAGGAGAGGACCCAAGTAATCCAAGCCAACCAATGACTGAGACCTTTAAGTAATGACATACCAGGCAGCATCTTCTGCATGTTGACCTTGCTTTGCTGGAAGAGGTCAGTCAGCCACTCACGATCGTTCAGCTTGGCCATCTGTTGCAGGCAGAGCAAGAAGAGCGGGAAGTGGGTGCCGTTCTCCAGGGGGTGGGCCAGCTCAGCCAAAGATATCAGCTCCGCGATGATGGCTCGAGCAGCGAACTGGGCCAGGTAGGACTTCACTAGGGGGACATCCACCTCTATCTTGGGACACTGATCCAGCACATTGAGGAAGGCCTAGAAATGTAATAACAGCAGGAAGTTAAGAATAAGTGACAGATTTGTACAAAATCACAGGCTTTCATTTCAATGAAATCAACAAACTGCAAAACCTGACAACACCTAAATATTTAAACAAGCAAGGTAGGCCAAGTACCACAGATTCATAGTATTCAACTGAAAACCACTGGAGGAGCAGATAGAAAAAAGGCTTCCACTTGCCTAGAGATTAAATACTTAATGCCATATATTTGGGGGACAGGGGGTGCAGGACCAGCTCAAGCCATCAGCTGGCAAGACAGGAGCCCACGCTCACCTGCAGGAAGTTATCGCCCGAGATGAGGCCCTCAGCCCGGAGCGCATAGACCAACGTGCTGGTGTGCTCCTTGTCCTCGTCTGAACGCTCCAGGGAGCACAGCAGCATCTTGCTCAGCATGTCGGGCAGGAAGTGCTTGGGTGCCTTCATCTCCCGGACGCTGCTCGCTGCCCCTCCCACATTCCCGCTGTTCAGGTACTCTGTCATGATGGTTTCCTGTGACGGGAGGGGCGGAAAGTGAGACCCACCCGACGGAGGCATTCTAGGAACACAGGGCTGGGCGGGGGGGCCACTTACAGTCATCTTAATGAGCTCCTCCTTGGCTGGTGGGGGCTTCTTACTGCTCTTTGGAGGTTTCTCCTGGATCGGAGGTGGGTTGGTTTTTAGACCAAGCTGAGGAGGCTGAAAGAAAGAGGACGTGAACTTTAGCACCAAGGCCTTAAACTAGAAACTCTGGCTTCTCCCATCATGGCCAGGCTCGTCGTTTCTGTGGTCCCAATGTGGGATCCCCGATGTTTCAAAAACAAAGAGCTAGTGAGTAATTGAATTTCACTTGTGTAGTGCAATTTTACATCACACTGTCACAAGGCACAGTAGAGTCAGGCCACCATAGCTACTAGCTGGTTAGCAGAACATGCTGCTTCAGCATCTGCTAAATAAACACATTTAATGTTTGGCATAGTGACTGCTTGTGCCAACAGGGGGCCCAAACGAATGTGTGGTCCGAGGGCCGATAAACTCCGTCGCCGTCTCCCATAACTATGCTCACCTGTCCCAGAGGAGGAGTCTGAGTGCGAGGTGGTTGTGCACTTGGAGGAATCATGGTAGGTATCTGAGGCTGCAGCTTTGGGACTTGGTTCTTACTCAGCAGGAACGACTGGGCAGGTCTCAAGCTGATCTGAAGGGGGAGGCACAAAACAACCTTGAGGAGCCTTAACTAGGGGGGGGGCAGCAACTCCCGAATCTGAGTCGGCACACCCTCATATCTCATAATCACGTTCACCGGACTACTGACCAGTTCAAGGAGTGGGTGGGAGAAGAAAAGATGGGGGGAGGGGTGAGTAGACGGGGGAAGAGGATGAGAAGGGTGGAGGGGGATGAGCAAAGAGTGAGGGCAAGAGGAACCGTCAGCAGGTTCTCCCTCAGAATAACGCGTCTTTTTATAATCAGCGGGCGTGGAGGGGGGAGAAGCACAGCCGTGTGCTGAAGGGGCACCTACCTCGTCGGCGTTGAGCTGGCCCTTCTTTATGAAACGCGGAGGCATGTCCTTGGACTGGGCTGGCTGCTGGACCAGATGGCTCTGGTTCTGGTTATGAAAATGCTGATTCTGCCCCTGAGAACACAGTGCCACTCCAGGTAAGTAACGGATTTAAGCAAATATTTCGTGTAAAAACCATTTAGTTATGTAAATAAGAAGTGGTGCCTAATTTGCCACCATTTGCACAAGGACAGATACACTGGAACGCTTCATTTTCCCATCATTCTCTCCTTTCACTCAAACAGATGAGACTCAAGCTTGGGGTGAAAATGCAGGGCCAGTCAATTATCTGGTGCCACTTAAGCATTATCCAGAGTCAGGGACCAAGAACCCAACAGACATGCGACTACTCTGCCAAAGATGGGATTCATTACAGACACAGAGGTATATACCCCTCAGCCACAAACCACCCCTGTATACCAATTACGTACTAATATACTGTACTACCTTGGAGCAACTGTTGTGAAAGATGCTATAGAAAATTGAATTGGATCACTAGGCTCCCCACACTTTCACACAGAAGTTTCTGAACTTAGCACTCAGCTTACATTCTAAGTTCAGAAGCCATTCAGATCAGGACACCATGTGCTTATGCTCTAAACCCACCCACACCCACACCTCTCACCTGGCTGGATTTCATGAACGACTTGGCCCCAATGTCAAACTGGGACTGGGGAACAGGGGTTATGTGACCACCATGGCCATTGAAAAGTGGGTTGGATCTGTGGCGGCCCATGGTGGGAGAGAACCGGTCCTGAATGACACCGGGACCGGTGCCGATCCCACTGCCTGCAGAGGACACACAGAGCAACAAGGTGACTCAGACACTACAGCAAGGAGCCAAGCAACACACCAAGATCAACAAGGTATATTCCAGGTGCAGAGTAACAAGTTACAGTTACGAGTACAATTAAACCTAAAGTAGAGCCTAAAGTACTTAATTCAGAGAAAACTGGATTTCTATCTTCAGTTACAAGGTAGAGCATCTCCATAACCATTTAAATCAGCAGCCCTTAGTCTTCAGACCTCATGCGATTCTCAGAAGGCAACTCAGCACCCAGACCCACCTGGCATCTGTCCAAACATGTCAGCCAGTCCCCCAAGAGACTCCCGGTCAAGCTTCACCCTGGTGGGCATGAAGGGCCCTTCCAGAAAGAAGTCCGTCCTCATGCCTGGGACCATCTGTGGAATAAACACCCCCAAATCCTGGTGGGAATAAAGAGAGAACAAAGTATTACACAGAGAAACAAGTGGTAGGGGGATAAATTGCCCCAGACATTACAGCTGCATCAGTCAACAACCAGCAGTACTTCATAAGAAATCAGGCTTCCACCAGTCAGCCAGCCAGCCTGAGAGGACATGGGACCTGCCTTAACTGCCTCCTGACGAATCTGATTAATCGTCTTTGGTCCATTGTCGATAAAAGCCTTGCGAGGAACCCAGCTGTTTTCTCGCAACTCCACAGTGTCCTGCAGCAGGAAACGAATCCTTGCCGGCAAGTCCTTGTTGCTCATTAAGGATCGCATACGGCCAAAGTACTGATCCATCAAAGACTGCAAGAGGACAAGAAAATAAATCAATGTGCCGTACCACCCCAAAACGTGACATCTGAGAATGCTGTAGAAGGTCGATGAACGTGGTTAATGACCTTTTCCATCAGGTGTACCTTGCATTTTTAAATCACTGAAAGCCATGCTAGCCTACCTTGGCTTTTTCATGGTCCAGTCTAGGTCCCACTGTTCTCATTATCTGACAGAGGCACTCCAGGTCTTCTCCCATATCCTTGAGTTGAATTCTCTTCTTCTTTTCCAAAAGCTAGAGCAGAAATACACAATAGGTGAGTCCCGAACAAAAGTTACTCAGTGAATATGATTCAGTGGTAAAATTGAGATGCCAAAACTCAACTGTTTTGATGCACTTATGAAGGATAGATTCATGGATGAGGTCGAGTTTGCCAAGTTCTCCGATGAATTTGATGTTGCCCAGCATCTTGATCTTGGCAATGGCGCGCTGCTCCTCCTCCTCAGTAGTAAGAGGGTTATCATGTTTGTCGTAGACTGGGAGGAGACAGAGGGAGAGGAGATGAGTACCACAGCACATCCACTTGCAGGGACCACGAGAATCCATCAGCTTTCCAGCTACTCACTTTCAACATTTCTGGTACGGTTTTCAAATTCATCCTGAAGCTTAGAGATCAGAAGTCTTCTGAAGGTCTGTACGACAACAAAATAAAATAAAAAAAAAAGGGCAAATGAGGTAAAACCACTAAACACACATGAAAACTTTTGGATTTGTCTACAGAAGTCAAAGCCAGAGAGTATGTAATCCAATATCCATTCCCGTCCAATAAGCCAGCCTGGGGCCTATGGCCAGAAGCACAGAGCACACCCTGGATGGCAGTCCTTTCCTTTACATCAGCATTTCCCAAACCAGTCCTTGAGGACCCCGAGACAGTCCACTGCAGCCGGGAGACACCAAAAACGAGGATTGTCTGAGGGTCCCCAAGGACTGGGTTGGGAAACCGTACTTTACATCAGTGGGCGGGGACATGCATTCACACAACTAAACCCACAATCCAGGAAGTGAGGCTAGAGCGCTAAGCAATGAGCCACTATACTCCTCCGTGTTCGAACACGTTTGATTACCGTGCTCTGCTTCTGTGATGTTTGGATCTCTGGGGAGGGGCCATCAAAGTTTGGTGCATCTTCTGCCAAACGCAGACATAGCTGAGCATACAATGAGCTATACTTGGGCTCCTCGAGGGCTTTGTCTACAATCTGGATAAAAAGAGAATCCACGTTACATGAGGTATCCATCTACACAGCACATCGCCATCATGCTATCCTGTATGATACACAATATGCAGATGAACTCTCTTACAGCGATGACACTGTCCACTGTCCTCTGGAATTATGCTCACATTCCTCACCTTTGCAAGTTAACATCAATCCCATAAACTACAAACAAAAGCCACCGAAAGCCTCTTACCAGCAAGATGATTCCTTTGAGGATGAGTTTAGAATCTACTCCCACATTCAGGAGCTCAAGGCATAGCTTGTCAAACTTCTCAGGGGTGAGCTTGTTAAGTATGCTGGAAGGAGAGGACAGAGACCAATTCAGAGCAAGAGCATTTACACATGAACCAAAGGGACTGAAAGCAACCTAACATACCGGATTCACTTGGTCAAATGGACACGCATTCTAACCAGTTTTGCGGAGGACACTTACCCTCTCACTTTCCTAAAGATAGCATCGTGTCTTTCTTTTTCATTTGAGGAGTTGACATCTCGTCTAGTGCTTCGTGAAGGAACCCATCTCTGAACGCTAGGCCCTGGGGCAGTCCCCAGGAACTCGCTGAAGGACGGACAGATGACAAGCACCATAAGGCCTATATGTTTACTGTGATATTAAGCATGTGTGAAGGGCTCCTGGGTGTACTAGCAGAGCCTACGGTGGATACAAAATCTAGCTGAGGCTAAGGTACGGACCCACCTGTTGCCAACAGTCTTGGGATAGTGCTGAGGTGCACCCCGACCTCCGCCTCCGCCCGAAGAAGCACTGCGGACAAAACATTCATGGGAACAATCATTCCAAATTGCAGAATGCTTAGGCCTCGGTAACATAAGGCAGCATCTGGAACTTCAACCACTGCAGCTAGACAGGCCCACAGAACAGCACTGCTGGCAAACCAGGTAGCATACAACAAACCATTCAAAGGTGCATTTAACTTATACCTTTAACGAGTGACTAGTGCTTGACCGAATCATGCGTTACACACTCAAACAGATAGTCCCCACAGAACATAAAGGTCGCCTCCTCCCAATAGTCAGGATTCCAAGCGCAATGCAGTTGTGCACCTCCGGCGAGTTTCTCCATCTCACTAACATGCCAGAACACCGCCTGAACGCAGGGAAGATCATTTACACCTTCTGCTGCAAACTGCAAGGCACACGGTTAGGCACCAGTCAAGCTAATCGGCTCTCATTACCTCCACATTTACAACCCCGTTCCAGCAAAACTAAAATGTGCTATGACCCTTCATTATAAAAAGGTGTGTATGTACACAAAACTCCTAATCCTTTAGGCCACTGGTCAATGTGGATTACAGCCAGAATTCACAATGCAACAGCCTGATATTAACATGTATATAGTAGCTATAGGGACTATGAACCCTACAAATTCATCCCAGCACCAATCACCCTACATACACAGTCACCCTTGAGCATCACTGTGATCAGCCTGCATGGTCGATATACATTTGATAACACCAGCTTCCACTTACACGGGTGCAGTCTTCATTTCAAGATGTGTTACGGAACCAAAGATGCTCTACCATGCCTGTCCTGAACAAAGGGATTATAACCACACTCCAGCTCTGCCATGGGACAGGTAGAGCCACAGTGGAGAGATCTGATCACACCGACTGCACTTAAAGCAATGCAACAAAACCTCTACAAGCAAACAGTATAGCATGCAGGTGGATCAGCAGCAGGCATGTCAATAAAGAATCGATCAGTGGGATACAAGTATGACGGGAACACAAATGGCACAAGCCACGAGGGGGGGGGGGTCAGACTGGCAGGTAGCCTGCAGCAGCCACTCACCTGAAACGAGAAGCACCCCCTTCTGCAACCACACTCTCCACTTTGGCGGCTTGACAACGAAGAATCTTCAAAAAGAATAAAATTCAAAGGGCAGGGTTGGGAAAAACTACCTGGGGGAGAAGTAAAGAATGCCATCTGAATAGATCATATCAGGAACGCAAAACAATACAGTGACTCAATACCGGGACACATTTCATAAGCTGAGCTCCTGTACTCATTTATGATGCTGCTGCAGTTTGGGTAGAAATTTTATAGATTGCGGCCAATTCCCTGACTATAGCTGACTTCTTAAAAATACACAAGATACTCACACACATAATCTGGCCTTTCAAAGATGAACGTATAAGGTAAATTGTTTTGCATCCCTTAAATTGGCTATTTTGTAAGATTATTTTGGATGCACAATCTAACCAAACCAGGCTGAGAGCAATGTGATGGACAGTCTTCAAATATAACAAGCATTTTCTTATAAGACAGTTGGGACAGAGCAATTGGAGACTATGAAATGCTGTTTGCATCCAGGGAAAGTGAAGCTCATCTTATACCAGGCAGTAAACATTTCAGCGTCTATTATAAACAATATAAAATTGTTCCTATGGAAACTGAGTGAAGCGACTAAAACGTAAGAATCCTGGAGTACTTTTCCATTAAGGGTGAACCCACACTGGCCACCTTATAATGGCTGGGAGGATTACAATAGGGACGCAGACCCGCCTTTTCAGGCAAAGTTGCGAGGCATTTTCCGGAAGGCCAGCAGGGAGTTAGGCTTAAAGGAGGGGCAGATCTCGCAAGCAGCAATGAAACAGCAGCGGAAAGGGGGAAACGGAGCTTAGAACCCACATCAATGTGCGGGACGGTAGGTCACGTGGTTCAGTGACGTCACCTCTCTGTACCCCCTCCCCCAGTGAGGGGAGGTGCGTGCAGCGGGGAGCTAGGCAGCGCTTCCTTTGTACCGAAATGAGATTTCAAGCGAGTCGTCATCTACCGACTTTTTAGAAATAAAAGGGTAAAAAACCGCGGTATCAAAAGCAGAAGGCCCCATTATCCATACGGAACCTGAACACGGCGGCTCGCCCTGTCTGTAGTACTTTTAACACGTAGACGGTACCTTACGGCCACCGAATCTCGCAGTGAGACATATCGTACCTCCTGGGAAAAAGCTGAGGTGGATGTGACCGTACTCACGTTAAAAAAATTGATAATGCCATTAAACATGAAAAAAACGTTTTAGAATAGAACGCTTTAAAGAAACATGTGAGATGTCAGCGTTTCACAGTCACCTACAAATATTTGTCAGTAATCCAAGCCCTGCCGGATTCCTCCTGGATCGATTAGTTAGCCAGTTAAAAAACTTCCAATACAGCCTTTTCATAAGCCTTTACTGCCACCGGGGGAAATGATGCCCACTGTTAATGCTGGCAGAATGAGTTTTTGTCGAACTGAACTTATGGACAGAGTACATTTCAGTTTCAAATGAAAAAAAGCAACATTTCACCGCAATAGGATCAAAACGCCAGTACCCCGACTTATCACTCGGTAGTTGGCTGCCTGATAGACACAGAAGCCGCTTCATCCCCCCACCCCCCACCTCCGACGGCGCCATTTTCTACGGCCGGAGCCTCGAAGCCCGGTACATGGAAAACACATCGGCCATTTTACCGCGGCCGCCTGAAACCGTCTTAAAACAAAAGCTTACCTTTACCGAAACAACTTCAGCTTTCACGATGTTGTTGATTTCAAATAAGAGAAAAAGAGAAAGGGAATAACAAAAAATAGTTTCAAACAAAATTCACAAACTAAGACACACGCCTAACCGCCTTCACAGCCACACAGAAGAATCTACTCGCACGTCCTACGTCACTCCCCAACCCAATTTTTTATCAGGAAGGGCTTCTAAACTGCTGGCGGTTTACGCGGACCGTCAATGCGTCGCTCTCGCCGAATGGTGTGCGAGATTCGCTGTTTGAGGCGGAACCTCAACGGTACTGAAATCCAATGGGAAATTGTTAAACCGTCGCGTAGCAGGACGCCCCTCCCCACTCCTCCTGTTTCGCCGAAGGGTTGGTTGACGTGCAGCACAGCCGCAGTGCAGGAACTGGTATAGAGGAAAATAGATTTACAGGAAGCGAGGATCATACGGGCATGCCCGCACTCAGTGATGGGTTTGATACGTAATACATCCCGCGGCGAATGACAGTGATTAATATTTTAAGGTGTGACTGCCCAAAAATGTTACGTGATTCACCCTTCTCCATTCTCATTTTCTTTGTTGGTTTGTAACACACAAAATGACCTGGTGGCAGCAGAAAGGGCTATGAGCTGGTCACCTAAAGCATTTAAAACATCCAACATATGCTGTCATATAATATGATTTTTGTAATGCTGTTTACATACAAAACACTGAATGCATGTCATTTGAAAGTATTTAAAGGAGTTATTTGGCAGAATAGCACCCCAAACAAACTCACCAGCTTCAGGTTCATACCGGTCTATTAATTGAAAGATTATGGTGACATACCCAAAAGGGGTGGATAGTTTAGTGCTTATAATAAAAAAAGGAAGTTTTCATCTATACACATACATCCTATGGCACAAGATGTAAGAACACTCACTCTGTGACCCACCCCCAGATAACATTTTAACATAGACAGACATGGATCGTACGTGCGCATGGATTGTAGTTTGACAAGGTATATTCTTGAGAAATCTGTAGGTTCAAAGTCAAACAACAGTGGGAATTCTTTTTGCAGGGCTGGTGGTGTTTATGGGGTTATGTCAGAATTGTTATGTGTCTTCTGTATGTATCTTTTACTGAAGGTCTCATTATTGGAATAGAATGGAAATGAATAAAATAACCAAACTTTCAGCATCATAGATGCCCTACATTCAGTGACTTGAATTCACTTCGGTATTTGACAGCGACAACTTGCGAGAGCACAGATGGGTGTCTCTTTGCCATCATAAGCGAGAAGCTGCCCAGCCTCTTTTAAATATCCTCTCCAAAGTCTAAGCGGCGACGGCACTTTTTTGTGAAGCGTGTTGCAGTGGGCACATGTCACCGCTGCGAGCCGCACTGTCCAGAATCACTGTCTGGCGGAAGGCTTGCTTATCCCACCAAGTCTCCTGTTACTGTCAGTAGCAGGGTGGAGTGGCTTCACATTTAATCTGAAATGGAGAATCATCTTAGCAAGTCCATCAGTAGAGCCACCGCAGGCGATACTATTCTGTGACAAGGTATGTTTACGTAAATATTTCTGATTTAGTCTCAGCTTTGAATCTCATATTGTTTGTAACTGGATGAAATGACGTCAAAATGACAAGCTTAGCAGCAACAATTACACACACATTACAAGAATATACGCATCTGGTTATTTTCTACGACAATGAACTATTGAATTTCTCTTGGATGAGACTGTTTGGCTGTCTGACCCTGAGATGGTTGTGTTTATGTCCTGATTGCCATGTGGTCTCCTAGGAGGTATATCCTCGTAAAGCACTGTGCGTTTCAGCATGATATCCTGTCAACAGTGCAGTCCAGCAGAGAGTCAAGGAGGAGGCACCGGCGGAACAAAGAAACCATGTGGCCGAGAGGCCTAGCAAGGCCTAACTCAGAGGCCCCTTCCCCCAGGCAGCGGCTGAGAAGCTCCAGGAGTGACTGAGACAAAGAGCACGCCAGTGAGATGGGAAGGGCACTATACAGGAAACCACCCCTCCCCCATCCTCTATATACACTTTACCGTCTGTTTGTATGCCAAGATTCTAGGGTTAAAGAATAAATGGACATTATTTTGTTAAGCATAAAGCAATCATTTATAATTATATAAATATATAAAATTATTCAGATGTGTAGGCAACATTTGAGTGGTCATGCCACCCAGTGCACCATGTTTTTCATTTAGTAGCATAATACTTTTAGGGTTATAATAGTATGTATGTATATGTCGTATGTATAACTGTGTAGTGTTTGTAGTGTGACTAGTACTCTTTCAGCAGGCTATGAATTACAGATATTTTAACCAACATATTCCAGTAAATGTCTCCACTTGAGTGTTATTTTAAGGATGAAGGACATCAGTTCAGGGTTCTCCAGAGCAGAAAGCTGGACCCAGAGAGATGGTATGTGTACCACAGACAGAGGTGGATAGTTCAGGTCCAGAAAGTAAAAATCGCACCAAAATTTTGTTTCAACTAACCAGTTGAATATGCAGTGACTGTGATTCTTTATACTCAACTGGCTGGTCGAAACAAAATCTTGGTCCGGATTTTTACTTATTGGACCTGAGATGTTCACCTCTCTGACCAGGTCTCTGACCACCAATGTTTGCTGTAGCGTCGATCAGACGTCAGCTCCCAGGAGTCACACCAAAAGTGCCCTCCCCAGGTCCCACAGCAGGTCACACCACAACATATTCTGAATCCTCATGGAGTGCAGAATCCACATTAATGTGGCCACAGTAATCAGTTTTGGCTCATATCATTGCAGAGAATCTGAATACAGGTGCTATACACTGGAACAATGAAACTCATTATCAAAATGTAACCCTTTAAAAAAAAGATATAGTTTAGTTATGACAGAAATTCAAACTTTGAATTGAATTCCAGGTAAAATGCCTTTATTTTGCTTTTCATAATACAGCAATCTTCAAGACCGGTTTGATCTAGTCGAGTCAACTGCTGCGGGAGTCTATTCTCATTGTAATTAGGATGAAAGAAAATCCCCCAAAGAACTAGGAGGCTGTCGTCTAAGTATTAATTAGTAGTAGTAGTTCATAATTTTGTGCCGAGACGAGCGGCCCCTCCCCACAGCTTTGGCGCGGCATGTTCCCCGTGCCTGCCGTATTCGGGCCGTCTGTACCAGGTGACTAAACCACACGTTGTCATGGACTCTGGCGCCATGCAGGTTTGCTAACTGTCACACATGTGGCGTGACACTCAGGCTTTCACACTCTCACACAAGGACTTTTACGGCAAATCTATATTCCATTATAAACCTAAAATTAGCTACATCAAAAGCATTGGGGTAGTTTGCAAACCCTAAAGGCTATTTTACAAGGTAATACAACTGTTACATAGATGTGAATGCGTGTGTAGACTTGTCTCAAATTGAAAATCTCACTCCAACCAGCTGACCCAAGTTTGCAACTCTGGACACGAAACTGACCCACTTGGTTCCGTCTGAGTCCCTCAGTTCATCCCTGAGCAAGACACTGCTGCTTAAATGGCTAATAAAATTTAAATCTGCATGCAATCTCTGCAAGAATGAATATATAATGCCATAGTCATATAATAATAGGGGCAGTGTGTTCAGTTGGTTAGGACTCTTTGCTCATGACTGGATGGTTGCTGGTTCAGATCCTGTGCTCGGCAAGGCGGTTTCACTCTTGGGCCCTTGAGCAAGGCCTTTAACACCCAGCTGCTTCATGGACTGCCTGTTCCTGCTTTCTCCATTGTACTCTGATTTGGATCAAAGCATCTGCCAGAATAAATAGCACGTAAATAATACACCATGCAAGTGTTGGAATGTATTTCTTATATGTTACTTAATCTTTTTTGAAATTTCTCTCAGTTATGACAAGAGTGCTACAAAGGATCATTTAGATTTGATTGATCCTAATTTAACATTTTGCAGTTCATTTTGTTGCCAGCTAATAATAACAAAGGCCTTAATAGTCCCCAAGTCAATACAATCAGCTAATGAACATATTAGCAGTGAAATAAATACATATGTAATTGGCCTGGCGGTCCGTGGGGTGGGTGGCACACATCATCAGCCGCCCACAGTCTCGCTGTACAGGCTGCGGGCTTCGCTCTGCAGAGGGCCAGGATCAGAGGAGAGACGTCATCTTCTCCTTTACACTGCAGCACCCTAGTGTTGTTTTGAGCATCACCACGGAGACCCTGGGATGTGATACTTACAAGATGATTTAGTTAGAACTGTGCCAAGGACTCAACACTGACCAAGCAGCTAGCAGGCAGGAAGTTACTGTGCACAGGAATCTTGGTTACTTAACAGCGCAAGAGGCTGAGAAATGGCAGATGGTGTTTCAGTACATCATGTAGTTGATTAGAAAAGTCATAAATAGCACTTTTCAGTTGTTTTGTGGATTCACACCTGAATGTTTTCTGCAGTTAAGGTTAATGTGCCTTACTGAATGGTATGAGAGGAATGCTGCTCATCGGATTGGAACCAGTAACCAGCTCAGCAATAGCCGAGCTCTGTGCTGTGTCAGTGCTGCTCCTGGGATTTGAACCAGTAACCACCTTGGTGATAGCCAAGCTCTGTGCTGTATCAGTGCTGCTCCTAGGATTTGAACCAGTAACCACCTTTTCAATAGCCGAGCTCTGTGCCGCGTCAGTTCTGCTCCTGGGATTTGAACCAGTAACCAGCTTGGTGATAGCCGAGCTCTATGCTGTGTTAGTGCTGTTTCTGGTATTTGAACCATTAACCACCTTGGCGTTAGCTGAGCTCTCTGCTGTGTCAGTGCTGCTCCTGGGATTAGAACCAGTGACCAGTTTGGCGATAACTGAGCTCAGTGATGTGTCAGTGCTGCTAATTGGATTGGAACCAGTAACCAGCTTGGTGATAGCCGAACTTTGTGCTGTGTCACTACTGCTCCTGGGATTTGAACCAGTAACCACCTTGGCAATAGCCGAGCTCTGTGCTGTGTCAGTGCTGCTCCTAGGATTTGAACCAGTAACCACCTTTTCAATAGCCGAGCTCTGTGCCGCGTCAGTGCTGCTCCTAGGATTTGAACCAGTAACCACTTTGGTGATAGCCGAGCTCTGTGCCGCCTCAGTGCTGCTTTCAGACCCATGCGACCTTGCCTTCTGGTTTGTAGAGGATAGGAAGCCTCTCTTCACTTCAGCATTGCCTGTTCCTGCTCCTGAACTGGAAAGC